TTTCCCTAAGATAATATTCTTGCAATGTTAAGAGCCACATTTTAAAGCTATGCGAAGCTAAAACAAACACCAGACCTGATTAGGCACCTGTAGCTTGTTTACTAAATCAATATTTTAAAAAACGGTGTAACTATTGCTTGTAAGCAATTCTAAAACCAGTTAAAATTCATGTGCAATTCGGTTAAGCCTTCTTCAGAGAAGAAGTAATTACATATTCTCTCTTTTAATTACTAGAAACAGTCTTTACGTTAAAGGTAAGTTGGGCGGTAGATCAACATGAAAATACATTCAAAATAGAAGGATTTAATACAATAGGAAAGAGAATCTGGAAATTTTCTTGAAAATGTATGTTAAAAATACAATCTCTCAAAATACTCAAGTTTCAGTTGCAGTATCCCACACACATTACACGTAGATGCACACCCACACACAGAGACACAGGCCCTTCTTTCAAGGGCATTAATTACTATGGCAACTACTGTCACTGACATAGGCAGCTCCATTTCTTTTATCATTATTAGTATACCCCTAGAAACATGAGAACCCCATGACATTTGCAAATACAGATGCAATTTTATCCTATTTTATCCAATAATTACTTCAAATATACCATCTTTCGATGCATTTTAAACTAAATGGATATACAAGACTTACTTTGTCATCCAAACACACATAATGAAGACTTGTGCCCAAGCCTTTAAGTAATTCACAGTAATTTCAGAAGGCTGAAATACATAAACTCTAGAAATACACGAATGCATGCCTCATTGTCCTTCTACATCCAACTCTGATTGAAAATTTCAGTGTGAAACATATTAAAAAACTGTCAAGCCTTCCCAAATCATTATTATTTTGCATCACATACCTGGCTTCCCTCTAGCTAGACCTTAAGATCTTAAGCATACTCAAGAAAATAAAGAGGATGAGTAATTACTGGCTTACTGTGACAGGTTTGTTTCAGAAGCTTGTCTCGTGCCATTTAGGAAGCTTGTGCAAAAGCAAAGGAGTTCAGCTCTCCTTGGAAGCATTAAACAGTCTTAACCCTGAATCTCTACTTTTCTCTTTCTGCAGGTTCCTGCTACTTTCATTACACACCTTCCCCACACATCGGTGGGTCATTAGGGCACAGTAACACAGGGTACTGGCATCTTATCACGTAATTCCAGAACATTTCCATTTTGTAAGAACTCAACCTGAAGTTGTAGGGTGTGGGGGCAAGGGGTGGGGAGGTGGAGAAAAGAAGCATACATCTGTAAAGGGGTGGAAAAAATAGCAAGACATGGTAAACTTCAGTTTCTTGACCCTTTGTAGACTGTACTGCACTCAGTCTGCACAGGTTTCTCTGTTCAGTTCCTCCAAGTTTTGTCCCATCAGTTCTGCTGCTGTCCTACCTCAGGCTCCTTGTCTCAGATCTCCTTTCTTTGCCTCTTCCGTTTGCTCCATTTCCATTATTCAGGACTTGGAGGTGAGTATCTTTGCTAAGCCTGACACCATCTTTTCTTCTAGACGTGTCCTCTTACCTCCACTCTGCATACTACTCCCAGTTCCTATATCCCTCTCATTTTTTTGTCCAATCTGCACTTAACCATCCCCAGCAATTCCTCTAGCCAGCCTCTCTATCCATCACTGACTGAGACACCAGTTCCCCACAACTACCAATATCCACCCTTCAATTACTCCCACGATGTCCTTCACTAACTATATTTCCCCAGGCTCTTCCTCCCTCTCTCCTTAATCATTTGCTCAGTCCTTCCTCCTCCTCAATCAATACGCATCTTTTCCACCGGCCTTCATTTTCTTCTCTGTGGCTTCCAGGTTCCTTCACTTGTAAAATCACCATCTCAGCAAAGTATTATTCATCTCACCCTGGCTCTTTAGTTACTCATATAGGCCAAAAGAACAAATGTATCTAATGCCTCCCTTTTCCACCCTGCTTGGGTGACAACAGAAGATCCTCAAAAGCACAGGAGAGAGATTCTTCTCCTTTCCTTTCAACATCTAGTCTGACCAAGTACTCAGTTCTGAAATCTCTGCAGCACACTCACTCTGCAAAGAAAGCGCATGTGCAGTATGGTCACACTCACGTCAAAGAAATGCTCTGGAAGTCTAAGGGATTTTAGCAGCCAAAGACATAGTTATTTCTACCCACATAAATTGGTATTTTTCAGAGGGTGTGCTAATCTGCATGACGTTTCATAGCTCTCCATAGGGAAAATAAAATATATACAGCAGATAAAGGCCATCCTCTTCACAGATTTCCAGACCTAGCTCCAAAATACGAATATTAGAGCATTCCATATAAAATGATCCAAGAATCTAGTGAGGCAAGATAACTTTACTAGGCTTTTCCTCAGTAACAGTTGAGTTATTCTGAGTAAGTATCTTCCTAAAAACTATTTCAGTCTGAGGAAGACATCCTGCAAAGAAAGGACTGAAAGGACATTTCTGTCTGAATAGCAAGAGTTGCATGCAAGAGTGCTTCTTTTCAACAGGGAGCACAGACATTAACCCACAGAGTAACTAGCTTTTTTTACAGTAACATTTACTTCACAGCTTTAAGAGACACCTAAGAAATTGTGTTTCCATCAACTCTTCTGCTTGCTTATAATTTTGGGTTAAAATACAAGTTATTGCAGTTTAACTTACCGAACATTTTCTGGTCTCAATTTATCCAGTACCATCTCTATTAAATCAGGCCTGAATTCTTCAAGCAAATACTCAGCAGCCAATACTTCTTCTATAGGATAATACTAAAAAACAAAGCCCAGAAACATGTAGATGAATTAAACAGAAACTAAGCACGAAGAAACTACTGTTTTGTAAAGGAATTAAAAAACTAAATCTATATTACCGTGGAAATTTCAAATTAGAAGTGCATAGATATCTTAAAATCTTTATCTCAAAACTAAACAAGATAGAGTAGTACTCTATCCATGCAATCATATTTCTCCTATATTAAGTAATCTTATATACTGCATAATATCATTCTTGTATTTTGAAATATTTTGTCTTGATATAAAAAGTCACCCACCTTTAAATACCGTTTTGAAGTAACTAAAGTAAAAATAACATGGTAAATGCTGACCCCTGGAGGATATTTTTAAAGATAGAAGAACACCAAGTACCCACTAGGGTGCATTTAGGAAAAACAAAACATAACACAGAAAAAAAAACCCACCACCAAAACAAAAACCCTAAACAAACAAAACCCAACCACTAGTGTTTTTAGGATTCTCTAATAATTCCTTTTAATGTACAGTAATTGAAAGGAAAGTATACGTCAATTCTCTAAAAGCATAAGACAAATTTACACTATTTTAATTTCAAGATTTTTTATTTAAGATTAAACTGGAAATCTCTTAAGGTACACTCCAATTCAAAAAGTTCAATTCCTCTGAAAATTATTAGCTCCAGCCACTCGTCCCCAAGCCTGTAGCATCCATGGGTTTATTGCAACCCAAGGGCAGGACCCGGCACTTGGCCTTGTTGAAGCTCATCCCCACTTGGCCTCAGCCCATGGATTCAGCCTGTCCAGGTCCCTCTGCAGAGCCTTCCTACCCTCAGGCAGATCAACGCTCCCTCCCAACTTAGTGTCATCTGCAAACTTGCTGAGGGAGCACTCAATCCCCTCATCTAGATCATTGATCAAGATGTTAAGCAGGACTGGCCCCAAAATCGAGCCCTGGGGAACACCGCTCGTGACTGGTCACAACTGGGTTTAGCTCCATTCACCACAACTCTCTGTGCTGCCATCCAGCCAGCTTGTGACCCAGCAAAGCGTGTGCTCATCCAAGCTGTGCCCAGCCAGCTTCTCCAGGAGGATGCTGTGGGAGACCATGTCAAAGGCCTCACTAAAGTCCAGGTAGACAATGTCCACAGCCTTCCCCTCGTCCACCAAGCAGGTCACCTCGTCAGAAAAGGACATAAGATCAGTCAAGCAGGACCTGCCTTTCCTGAACCCATCCTGACTGGGCCTGATCGCTTGGTCACCAAACAACAGTTTTAGCTAGGTTAACTGAAAGCACAAAGGTAGAATGACTCAGAGGCAATAAAGAGAACTAGAAGAGTTACTGTTCTATTAGTATTTAAGCAACAGCAGAATCAGAATTATCACTGCTACTGCAAAGCACAGCAAAAGAAGAGCAGTGAAAAAAAAATGTCCTGAATCAGTACCCTGCTCTTTGGAACACTGTTGGCAACTTCCTGGCCTAACTTTTGGAGGCAGCAAACATACTGCTAAATGATTACTACCCAAACAAACAAACAAAAACAGACACACATACTTACATGCAACATTCCTCCAAGCTTTGATGTATAACCTCGTGGTCGCTCCTTATCTTTAAATCTGAATGCCACAGCATTTAGATCCTAGAAAACAACATAGGAAGGGTTGAAAACCCTATGTTAAAGATTATTTTAAGAATCATTATTAGCTACTTAATTCATTTTTATAACATAAGAAAAGTAAGGAATTTTGTTGTATCCATTTTATAATAGTTAGGTACCTAACACAAAAGTTCTCAGTAATATTCAAGTTGCGCAAAACTCCCAAGCAATTCTGGATAGTCTCACAATGTGAAGTGTTTTACAAGTCTTGTAAGTCCGGTTCACAGTAAGAGGTCTGTCCCATGGCTCATGTATTTTAAATTCCCTGATAATTTGAAAACACACCAACTTCAATGCAACCAATAGTGTTCCAGTGCAATGATCACTGTACATTAATGAACCTTCCCTCTTCCTTTTTTGTTCCTTTGTTCAGCCAAAGTTCAGTAAGTTTAGAGACTGAAAAATGTGTTTCTTTATGCTGTCTTAGCCAGAGAAATACAACATATCACTCTTAAAATACAATGATAAGGGTGAATTAAAGAGATCTAAGACTAAGATGCCAATGAAAAGGACGGTCCATCCATCTGTGAAATCACAGAGTCTGGTCAATTCAACAATTCAGCTGAAAATAAACTCAAAAAAAGATTCTTCTCAAACTAGTTTCCCAACTCTTCTGACTCACCTCACAGCCTCAGGAGTGCTGAAGGCTGATACGAGAGGAGCAAGGGAAAGACGCGAGATGGGAGGATGGAACTACCTCCTTCAAACCTTGTATTTGCTTACAATGACAGTGAAACAATTCCACTGCGACTTTTAACAGAGGATAAAGAGACTCCTTTTACAGGTATACAGCATCAAAATGCAAGAAACAAAGTTAACCCATTTGCAGAATTTCTACTCTTAGACAGAGGAGACTCAACAGTTTTCACCAAATCAAGCTAAGATGGAACAAGAAGTGCAGTACTATTTAATTCTAATAGAATACTTAACATTTTTGGTCTGTACACACAGAAACATACAAGAAGCATGAACAGTTCAGCAAAGACTAAAGTGTACAGCCAAAGTACTCCACAAAAAGTTCTAGTTCACCTCTCAGAACGTAGGAGAATGAACAGATTAAATGTCCTGCGACTTTCACAATCTCGACTACACAATCTGACACGTGAAGGGTGAGAGGGGTAGAGTAACAGCCATTTCCATTTCCGATCCAATGTTACCCCTCACAGTAAACGCTTCCCCCTCCTCCTTCACTGAAGACTAAGGAAGATTATGCAAAATCCGTGTGACCAGAGTAAGATACTTCTTCCTCCACCTCCCTTACGCTATCACAAAATGCCAACTCACAGCTCTTTAAGAGCATTTCACACCTACAGTAGGACAATATATACTGAATGCAGTTGTCATTTGACTCATGTTGCACCTCTAAAATATAGAAACTTAATTACCATGCGATTATTAAAGGCTATTTCCACCGCCAAGGAACCTCTTTCTACTTATAAGAAAAAAATCTGTAAAAATACAACCACCACGTATTTCAAGTACCAATCACTGTACCTTGCACTCTTGGAAAACCCATTCTTGAGGTCCTTCCGTACGGAGTTTTTGTATATACTGAAACATGTGCAAAATAATATCTTCAACGTGCACTGGAAAGAAAAAAAACCACTTGCTTAATAACTCACTAAGTTCTGCACAAAGAAAAAAAAAATCTGATGAAACAAATACATACTGTTTTATTTTTAATTACATCCTGAAACATCAAGATATTTGAGTACATACAACCCCACTGGCAAAGTTTGACATGTTTTTCTCATACATGAATTTAAGATAAGTGTTTAGGTTCCCAGCTAATTCCGAGAACCGCATGAACATATCTCATGTTAAGATACTGATTTATAACATAATTTAACTCGGGTCTAAATAGTATGAGTAAGTAGCACACAAAGGTATTAACAGTTTTTCTTTTACAGAAATTTAATTTAAAATATTTAATGAAATACTTTAATTTAATATAACCACAAATAAGTTGGTTTCTTATGTTAGATGAAGTGTGTTAGCATATTGAGAGGATCCAAATGGAGACGAACAGCCGGTTAACTAAAATAAATTCACTTTCAAGCTATAAATACAATTAGTCTCTTTGGACACAAACACACACCCATCAGATCAGGAATAATACAGAATGCAGATACAGTGCTTCACTTACAAAGTCCTTCCTCTGTCAAGTCCACATTAATGATGAAAAACATGAAACCTCTAGCACCTTCCTTCTGTCCTCCAACAAGAGTATTTACCCATCCTATAAAATCAAAGAGGAAAATACACCACATAAACAAATCTGTAACAATTTATGCTATATTTTGTGTGCTTCAGCAACATGAAATTACTTCTCCCCCTCCATTTTGACTACTTTACATATTCTTCTTCTCTTCTTTAAACATAACACAAGTCAGACTTATCTGATTTTGTGCTCAGAGTGCTACAACAAACTTGATAATTTGATTACTGGGTAATTCCTTTCTATTTGGAACAGAGTAATACAAAGAAAAATAACAGAAGGTACACTCGTCTAGCTTCCAGACATGAAGGGACCTGACAGCAGTCTCTCGGTCAGTGACAGAACAGAGACAAGATCATACATCAACGTTCATTTAACTCTCTGAACAGGGCCACGTAAAGAGGAGTGCAAGATATATCTTTATTTTGACCCACCACAGAAGCAAAAATAAAGCGCAAAATTACTCACAACTCAAATTACTCAAACAGTCGGGAGGTTTAAATTTAACATACAGAGGTAAATTTTAAGTGAAACATAGCTAAGCTTTAAAAAAAAAGTGTAATACACTATTTATTTAATTCTTTACCTTCAAAGACCTTACCTTTGGCTTTAAGCTCTGATAAAAGACTCCCAGGCCCTTCATGCCCAATCAGATGACCAAGGTAATTGCCAGGGTTTGATTTATAGTACTTCTGAAGGTCTGGTATAGGAAATGTGACATAAAGATTTCTAATGTCCTTAATAGGTACCACTTTGTAAAGTTGCTGAGGGGGGAAATAAACAAGGAGATTCATAAACAAAAAGAAACTCATCATTTCATTCATCTCAGAACCATGAGTCATGTTCCCTTCACACATTTTATTACTAACATATCACCAAAATCTCAAAAGTAACAGTATGTAAAACTTCGGGCAACACTTCAGACATTCATGATGCAAAGAACAAGAGAATTCATTATCTCTCAATTGCTTACAGCTGCAACCAAATGTACAACCCTTACTATAAACTATATTAAACTGTACTATATTCTGCATAGAAAGGTGGGTGGAAAATTAAGAAAGAAATATGGAACCCAACAGGGCACTGATGCTAAAGCAGTGAAGTGCACAATGTAATTCAATTACACAATTACAATTGTAAATGTGAATGTATCATTTAAGCTATAAACTCCTGATGGAAGATTTATCTCTATACATACCCGGAGATGTTCTTCTTGGAAAGGATGTTCAGGAAACTCTGGTATAGGGACATTTTTATTCTCTACTTCTGAAAATAATTTTACCACTAAGCAAGTCAGCTCATCCAAAGACTCTAGAATAAAGAAACATTAGGAAAAGCATAATTGTTAACTGAAGATTCTGGCAAATAAATTTGTATTTGCATATTCTTTGAGGGAGAAATTAATTACAAGGAGAAACAGTTTTAATGGTAAGATGATTATTAATTCCATTAATAATTAATTATTAAAACCTATATAAAGTATCAGCTCAATTCCAGAACATTTTAAGCAGTTGAAACCTCTGTTAATTCAGGAGGAAACTGAAGTAACAGCTTTTTATCTACATGTTAGGTTAGGTTTATCCTTTTATCAAATACCAGAGTTTTGTACTGAAAGTGTAAGTCTAAAGTACGAAAACAGTACCAAAAGCCCTCCCAACATCTGAAATCAGAGAGGTGTCAGCCTCCACAAGACAAACATACAATGGCAGCAACTAGTGACTTGATAATGGATTTAAAACGTGCAGCTTATTTTTTCTACCGTAAGCTTATAAACACACAAATGTATACATTGTCAGTTGCTTTGGAGACTTCACTAAACATAAAACTATGTTTGGCCAGTCTGTACAAGTTTTACTTTTTTTCTTCCTTCTGCAGATTTTCAGACACTTGCTTACACTTCCTTTTCTTCAAATACAAATACATGTAAAGTCTTACTCAACCAAGAGGACAAGACTCACCTCTTCCTAAGACACAAATAGCCATTAAATTTGACGAATAGTAAGTAGAATGGAACTTCAGTAGCTCTTGTCTTACATCTATTCCTTCTTTGGTTGGTCTAGTTTCCAGAGTGAGTTTGTTCCCTGTAACGTAAAAAAGTTAACAATACTTGGTGTTTATGACTTTACAAATCAAAAAGAAAAATATAAATTAATAGATCTAATTTTCTCCAGATGATAGTAATTTTAAAAATAATTACTATGCATAAAACATAAACTGACGGGGTTTATCAGAGACAATAAATAACGCCACTCTCAATCTGCACATTTCTAAAGAACAGAGGATGTTTTTGTCTTCCAAATTAACAATTTCATTTTGAATGGGTTATTTCAAAGCAATGCAAGCCCAGACTCTAATTCAGAAAAAGAAAAAGGTTTTTGCTAGGAAAAAACCCGTTTCTCATAGGAATCACTGTGTGAAATAATTTCTGGCATTGTGGGCCACAAATTGTAGCTCAGTACATTAAATGAAATAAAGAGCCCCAGCTCCCTCAGCCGCTCCTCATAAGGGAGATGCTCCACTCCCTCCATCATCTCTGTGGCCCTACGCTGGACTCTCTAAAGCAGTTCCCTGCAAAATATTGTTCTCCGTCTTGAGATGGATGAATAAACCAGTCCTTAAAGCCCATTATCTGCCCTCCTGTAGCCAATATTTACATCAACTACTCAGCAAACTGACCCAGCCACAAAACACATTCATGCTCAAGGATTAAACAGTGCAGTGCATGAATTAATAGTGCAGTTACTGATAGTTTCAAAAATAAATTCATGTAGAAAATAACTTCTATGAAAAAAGAACATTTAAACTTCTGCCAATGCATCAAACATTTGTGGTTTTGACCATAACTATGGTATTTTACTCTAATGCTTTTTAAATCGAAGTTTTGGGGTGTTCATTTTAAATTGTTATTAAGTGTTTCGTGAATAATAAAGTCTGAAAAAAACCAACCCTACAGCCATAAGACGGGAATTTGTCCAAGACTGTTCAATCTATCCATCTACTACTGTTGTGTTTTGTACTTAAGATTTTGGTTTTATATTCTTACTCAGTAATTTTCACGTAACTTTGCTGATCTTTCTGAGTCAACCTAGTCACTGTCATCTAGTCCTAATGCAGTACTAGTTAGCAAAAAGAGCATATGACTAACAACAATTTAAACACAGTTCACTCACTCTGTCATGCACAAAAACTAAATATGACAAATCCAGTAGTTAGAAAAGAGCATTCACTGCAGTAATTAATCATAAAGGATGCTTCATCACTGAACTGCAAGTCCTAGATCATGCTGTTTCTTTTGGTTTTCTCTGTTTGGTCTATAATGTGGAAAATGTGATAAAGTACCATAACAAACATGTATGGAGAGGAAACAAAGGGAATTGTTTCAATCTGTCTTTAACAGTTTTATATAGACAATAATACTATGTAAGTCCCACAGAACTCCAACGGATGGATTATTATATTCTGACAAACCTGTTCCAAATTTACTGAAGGGATGATTGGGGTTTCCAGTAGCCTTCTCCAATTGAAACAACCTCCAGGCATCATTCATCAGATTCTTCTCATGCTCAGAATCAACAGCATTCACTTCCCTGTCTTTGCAGCTTTCATCAAACAAAGGGCACAAGAAAAACTGGGCAAATCTAAACAGAAAAAATGTAACTCAATTAGGAGGACTGTACATAAACGGTAACAGAAAAGTATGAAGCTTGGTACCTCCTGAAAACAGCTTAATATTTTTTAATGCAGAACTTAAATTCTGTAACCGTTTTAACACTGATTCACTATCTTTATTTCACCATTTCTTTATCTACAAATGCAGAAAACATATTTATCATATACGGTACTACAAGGATCAAGGACCTTCCTAATTCATACACTGAAAATTTCTACTGTAATGAAGTTTAGCTGCAAGCAGCTCTTAATCTCTCAAGTCAAATCAGTCCTGTCAGACATCCAGGGAAAATCCACCCTACTACACACCCTTCAATTTCTGTCCCCTCCCACAAAAGGCAGAGATTTCAGTGAGTTCCCTTTACTAAAGGCATCCTAATATACTTCTAGACCTCATACTCCTTTTGCTATCAATGAAATAAGGATCCCATGAGAAGCATAGCATTTGATTATACAATCAGAGTATTTGCACAATGCGTAAGTTCATGATCATATTCTATGCCCCACATTTCCAAAAACATTCAGTGTAAACCCAACCTTTGAAATTCAAAAATTCTGACTCAGTGAAGAACTCTGCCAGCTGAAAAAATCTGAGCAAAAAACTTTTGAACTGAAAAATACCTGATATCAGTTTTAACAAAAAAATTATGCTCCCAACTCTTTCTTTAATACCATAATGACTAAATGACAAAAAAAATCCTACACAATTTTAAATAGCACCTGTATAACAACCACCAAAAAAAAATAAAAAATGTGCTTACCTGTCTAGTGCACCTTCTAGGTGTTCGTGTGACACATCGAAGTAATAGTTGGTATGTTCTCCACTTGTGAAAGCATTTGAGCTCCCTGCATGCTCACTAAGAAATTGGCTATATTCATTCTCTTTTGGGTACTTCTTGGTTCCCAGGAACAGCATATGCTCACAAAAATGACTAAGCCCAGCAATGTTGGGGGGATCAGACAAGGATCCTGCAGGAGGAAAATTTTCATGTGACCATTCATAAAAAGCAATACTAAACTGTTACGTCTTTTGAAGTGCTTTGTATTACAGTATGGTGCCTCGGGCAATTATATCAGTTCTGTAGATGTAAGTAGACACTCGTGCAGCTGCAGTTAACTAAACCCAAACTCAAGAAAAAAAAAAGCTGAATGAGTAACTGAGCCAATTAGTGTCTCAAATTCTCTCCCCAGATCAGCCTGCATTGCCTTATAGAGGCAATTTTTCAATTGAAGTCCATGACTCATAATCTGTAAAGACCTGGCAGATCACAATGTTCTGACTTCTATACCTTGACTTTAATAACTGCATTGTGTTAAAAGGCAGCAATTGGCAGCCACAATTAAGGAGGTATTTATCCTGCGGTTTGTAGGACGAGTGATAACCTGTAATTGCCTGAACACAAGCAGCTACTGATGACCAGCTAGTAGGTGTGAAGGTGGATTAAAAGACAGTAAGATGAGTAAGAATGGAAGAGAGAAACATGGAAGTTTGAGTGTGGCCATCCTGAAGTGTGCAACAACGCACAACAGGAGAGCAGAGATGAAGGCCACAGATACATCTCTTCCAGTATATGTGTAGGAACTGGCTGCTGCAGTTGCCTATTACTGTCACAGGACCTAACAAAACCACATTTGGGATCCTCTGAACCAGATAATGATTTGTGACAGCCATCTCCATAACAAAAAAGAAGTCAGAAATTTTCAAAGTTCCTCTACTGCTTCTGTTCTACACTAACAGCAGCAACAGCTCCCAACTACAACCATGGAAAGAGGATGATTAAGGATGCTTAGGTAATGTGTGTGCACATTGTACTTTCCAAGCAACTGAGAAACTACACAAGCTTGAAACATACCTTGGATATAAGAAAAGGCTTCTGTTATCCCACAGAGTCAAAATAACTCTGTCTTCCCCTTCTATTTCCAGTATATCTGTTTGCACACTAAGTACCATGGAAGCTGGGGAGTGCCTCTCCAACTTCTCCCGCACTACAGCATTTTCTCACCTCTACCCATCAACAACTTAACATGGAGGAAAAAAAAAAGTCTGACATGACAGATGGAGCTGTCTGAAATAACTGCACTCACACCCGCTCCTTTTCTGCTTACAAAAGATCTTTCATAACACAAAACACAACGGTTCAAAGATGTCTTTCTACTGAGCTACACTTGAGTAAACAGACTACAATAACAGAATTTTGTTAACCCTAATAAATTACTAACTTTTCAACTTCATGTGCCAAAGAATTAAAAAACTCTTAAATTACAATAAAATGCTAGGCTGCCAACTGGATATCACTCTTGAGAGTTTACTGGCAATTAAGACACCAAAACTTAAAACATTTTTATTAATGACATCATGAACACAACATGCATTAAATACCTATATGCACATCAAGTGCTGCTGAAGACTTATCTGTGGTGGAGTCACTAATGAGAAGAGCTTTAATGCCGTTTGCCAATTCCAGTCCACGATATTCTCGTTTATCCTCAGGTGATTTGATAATTTCATTTGTTATTCTCTTAATAGCTGGATTGTTCATTTTGCTGTTTGTATCTTTCTGAAACCTTAAAGAAAACAGAAGAAATCTCACTTACTATTTTTACTTAAGTCCTGCTAACATTTTAATATTATGTTAGAGAATACTGGGTGATACTGACAGCAAGAAATTTAGTTCTGCACAAAACTCACAGAACTTGCCTAGAAGTGTAGTTCAGATCCTGAGATATATTGCTGTTAAAACAAAAAAAACTCCAAAGACCAAGCACCATGATAAAATTGTAGATCACAAAACTGAGTGTTTCAAGTTTCATACTAATGGTAATTAAAAAAAAAACAAACAACTTCTGAAGAAATATCATCCTCTTATTCAATTACGACTAAAATGAAATTGAATAAAGCATACATTGCTATATCAAATATACTTCCAGGCTTCAGGAAAGTATTTCATGTGTGGCTATATTATGAATGCTGCAACTTTGCAACTGTCAGATAAACCAAATCTTACTAATAAACCACTGGATTAGTACACCCAAGCAGGAAAGGGTGACACCATTTACAATACTGCCACAAAAATACAAACACACTGCAGAATTGCCATGAGAAACAGGAATATACTGTCTCACATGTTCAAACTTCTACGACTAGTTTAACAGGCATACTACGAGATTTGCTTCTTTAACGGCAGAATTTTGAAATGCTAAGAAACTAAGTGTGATTCTGAAATCATAAACTCTATAGTTATTCAGTTTTTTTAAATGCCAAGTGAAAAGATGATACATTCAGACTTTGGTATGTGGGGAGCTACTTAGTTACATGTTTAAAAAAACACAAACAAACAAAACCCAGAACAACAAACAAACAAAAACCCCACTCAATGAAAAACCAACAAACCAAACAAAACATAAAAAACTATGCACACAAAAAAATATGAAAACCCCAGAAACAGGAAACCAAAGAGCTATGCGCTGAGCCAGTCATGTGGTGTATTCCTGCACGTAACAGCCACTGAATTCCAACCCTGAATTCCAGAGGAAGGGTTTTAGAACAGTGTCTGTTATAAATACATAGTGCCGACCAAACTCAGTCTTTTCCTGTGGTGAGATGTTGCTTGCCCTATTGCCCAGTAACTTACTACATGAGCTTCGTTAATCAATGCCAAACTAATTTCACCTGCAAAGAAAACCAGACCTAACTCCTCATCACAACACTTACACAGAGGCTTGAGAGATTTTGTGCGGTCCTGTTGGTACCACATAGATAACAAGGAGTTTCACAATATTTGCTTTTCTATTATCAGGTTGTACAGTTCAAGGAACTTCATTCAAGTTTTAAGACTATGCACAAGCTTTAGGACTGTATGGGGATGTGGAACATGAAGGACTGCACAGTTCGCAACACACTTACTGTTTCAGGTCTTCAGTTGTGACGTTTCAACTAACTCGCTATCTAGCAAATCAACTGCATACTCAGTGTTACCAGAATCACAACAAAAAGACTCCAGAAAAGAAAATCTGACTATATACTTTATTTAAAATTACAAAGTGAAAAGGGAGTCAGCAAATAAAATCTCCTTCCTAAAATATGGTAGCATTCTCAAAACAGGTAGCGGTTCTGCAGTCTACCGTCCCTCTCGATTATCTCCTTCCCATTTATTCATGTGACTCTATGGTATAAACACAACAGCCAACGTGAAAGCTAGCAGACGCACAGTCAATCCGTGTTGGTGTTACACATTACAATGAGGCTGATAAAGAGCTCATTATTAACAGCATGTTAAGGATAGAAAGTTCTTGAACATAATGTCTACAGTAGAACCAGTGAAAAACAGTGTATCACAAATAATTAATATTTCAACTGTAGCAGAGTAAAAGTTTGCACAAGACTGGATTTTTGCTTGAGGAAGGAGACATATACATAAACTGGAGAAGATATTGAAAAATTAAAAAAATAAAAAATAAAAAGCAGCAAAGTAAGCAATACATCTTTGAATACTTTGGAAAGATGTAAAAAGATTACTTTGGAACTTTTAAGCAGGCTTAAGGTATAACATGCCCTTATATGAAAGAAAGCCAAATTACAAACAGGAACTATAATTCAAATAAGAAAAAAACCAGAAGCACTGAGTACAGAAGCCATCAATGAATAATCAGCATCAGAATGTCTCTAAGCAAGACCTATAAACGATATGAAGTAACTTTTAAAAACATGCAGCTCAATGCATTTCAGAAGGAAACACTTTCATTAGTAAAACATAGTTCTCACACTCTTAATAGCTCAAAAACAAAAGTATAGTCAAACGTAATTGCTAAACCGTAACCGAAATGCTGAATTTAAACTTAAATATCTATACTCTCATTTAAACATGCCATTTACCCACTCTGTACTCAGGCTAATCCTGCTTGTAATATCTATGGGCTTCCCTTCTCTGAAAAAAAATGCAGACACCATTCAAAAACAAAGGATATCCCAAGTATGGCAACCTCTGTTTCTCTGCATCAACAGCACTGATATAATCCATAGCACAATTTAAGACATATGTTCTCGTTCAAAGTTCAGAGTCCTGACTAGAAATGCTCTACTAAACTCAGGGTAGTGTGTAAAATCTATGAAGTAAGAATGGATACTACTTTTCACAGATAAAACGAACCTGTTCTTAATTGTATTTCACTTGCACACAATTCTATTGGATTGACAAGTACAAGTATGTGGGAGAGCAAGGAGGTCTCTGAATCTCCCGATTTCACCTCTGCTAAGGAATATCTATCACTTGGTTTTCAGCTAAAATACTCTGTCATATTAAGATACTAGCTGCTTATCATAAGATGTAGATATACTATAAACTTCTCAAGGTTTGGGTTTTTTTTTAATGTTATACAATTTCCTTGTCATCCGATATCTCCTTGTTATTTCTACACCACATTATTAAGTCACAGAACTTTACTTTTTGTTCAGATGACTCATCTTTCCAATGTGATTCATCAAATTACGCATCTTCTGTGAAGTCTTAGGAGATTTCAATTGATGTCTTGTGAAGCTGTACACCTCCACTTCATTTTATTACCGTTCCCTACTTCTGCCTCCTTCATAGGCTACCTCCAGTTTGGCAGTCAGATTTCATTACAGGAAAAACCTACAATTTTCGAAAGGTCAGAATCAGTAATTAAGCCTTCAAATCAAGGACTAAACTTTTACTTCCATCTTCATTGTTATTTCAATGGGCATTGTGAATACAACACACTCTTCAACTTCAAATGAGTTTGCATGATTAACCCACAATTTCCCTGCAAACTAAATTTTAGTACCAGCCAATTTATATAAAAGCAAAAGCAGATCAACTATGTAATATTCCTGGAAGGCAAAGAACAAGACCAACACCTTCCTGCTTAAATAGCATTCCTCCCGGTACTGTTACTACACTACAATAGCTAGAAAAGAAAATGTCTTTGTATAGATACTCTAAGTGAAATTTTCGTAAGGAGCAAACTGTAAGACATAATATTAAACATTCCCTCATATGACTGCTTTTCTGTGTAACTCGTAAGTTCTCTAAGTGTAACTGCTTCATAACAACAGCACGTTCCACTCTTTCACACAAGAATCCTAAAACACTTTTTGACAATGGAGTTGCTTTTGAACATAGGAAAAAAAGTGATAGAAACAGGAAAAAAATAAAATCTGTATTTCTTGTAGCTTTTGAGAAATGGCTTAATCCCTAAAGTTGTGTTCAGATGCTGTCCTGAAGTACATGTGCTACATCTACTTGCTATGCTGTCACCACCGCGAGCATTGAATGCCGATGGTCGGTAGCAAAGAAATTCATCCACAAACTAGATGCTATGTCTACTGCAGCGCTAATATCTCAACAAAAATGTCTTTAAAAGAAATATTGTCATAGTACTTTCACAAAACAGAACCATCAGAAAAAAAAACAATAAAGCAAAGAGAGCACGAAAAAAATACAAAGTATTACTGTGGCACCAGGAATTTTTCCACTGGCTCAAAAATTAAGGTGGCAAGATGACAGAGCTAGAAAGAAAAAGGCAGAAGAACGGGTACCTTTGAACTGAGAGCAGTATCCCTACTCAGTGACTAGGAAATATGAAACATTCTTCCTCCTCATCAAAATTACTTCACTTGTATAAGAAAAGTATCAGTTAAAACAGATGCTGAATTTTAAACGATAGCACTCTGAAGTAAAATTAGATGCTGTTGTTTGAGGCCCCGCTTTTGTAATGATTTCCAGGCAGGCAGTCCCTTGGAACCAGCAGAGCTCTCTGGGGATGCCAGGTTCCACCGGCAAAGAGAGTACTACAGAGTGGGATTAAGTGATATATGATTCTACCTATTTTAATCTTTCAAAGTTATTTTAGTAAACTTACGTTAATTAAAAATTAGCCAGTGTAGTCAAATCTAGAGTTCAACGTTTGAACAATTAAAGGACCATATTTGAAAACCAATTAACAGAAGCTCCTGAGGGTTGCTTCAACGCAAGAATGTAACTAGCTAAAAAAATTATGACTCCCAAAGAACAAACTCCAAACCGCTTCTCAAGATATTTTTTTGCCACGACAGGCTGCACATATCGAAGTCAAATGCTGGCACATAGCTCTGAGCCAGCTGGACGGCTGTAAACACTCATCAGCTCAACGTAACCAGATGAATGGCAACAAAGTTACTAACTCAGCAGATTTTGATGCTTGCTTTCAATTTAATCAGTTGCCTTAAAATTTGGGGTTTGCTTGAAGCTTCTATGCAACTGAACCCAAATTACTTCCATGGACACACCTGTGCGTAAGTTTATACCTGTATATACTAGGATCTGCATTGCTGCTCATTTTCACTTCCAACCGTGTCTTTGAAACTACACAACCACCACAGCAATATTCAACCTCACATTTTGGACCTGTTCCAAGTTCTGCATTTTCTTTATATAAATTTCTTTTTAGTTTGTTTTGGTTTGGTTTTGTTTGTTTTGGTTTTTTTACTTCTGAATTTAATTGCCTACCATTTACCAGAGTGAAGTTAAACCTCTGTTGAGCCAAAACCTCTCTGCTCTGTCCTGCAA